AACAACACGCTGTTCAGATAGACATGGAATTTTTAATGTTTTTTTTTAAAATGTACCAATAAAACATATATTCAAAAAAACCACAACCCTGACCCTTTTCCCACAATCTGGATGAGGGATGTCAAAGTCAAGGCCTGTGGGCCGAATCTGGCCTGCAAGGTGGTTAGATCTGGCCTGTGGGTCTGCCCTGGAAACATTAAAGGACCGGCCTGTGGCGCCTTGGCCAGGCCCAAGCTGACCGGGTGCTGATTTGCCACCTGGTGGAAGCCATTTGGGCCGGACCACGGCCAGCCTTAGATATGTGGCACCGCCTCGGCCCTGCCCCCTGGGTGTGTGCACAGGGTCGGCGAGCGCACAGGGCCTGGCATTCCTAGGGACTGAGCACTGCCCTTCGCCCAGGACACCAGCCCTCTCATGCTCGGAGCCAGGGGCAGGACCAAGGCGCCACCACAGATCTAAGGCTGGTCACGGTCCGGCTTGGATGGCTGCTGCCAGGTGGCAAATCAGTGCTGCAACTGTGCCGGCACCTCCATGCTCCGCTCGCTGGCCTTTCCCTGGGACTGCCTTGCTCCACGTGGGAAAGCCATGCTGCCAATCTCTCCCCCTCCCCTTGCCCCTTGTGCGTGGAGGTGGGAAGGAGAGGGCATCGGACTCTGGCCGCTTTTGCCTGCCAGCATGCCATGGACGGTAAGAGGTTTCACAGGGTCTGGGGTGGGGGGATGTGGAAGGCAAATGACGGTTTGCCATCAGGCATGGAGGCTACGGAGGGGAGGGTGGACAAAAAGGGAAGCTCTGAATTTTGATCCCTTCCCTTGTTGTTGCCTCTGTGCCTGATGGATCTCTGTGTGACTCTGTGTGACTCTCAGCTCACCTCTCCGACCCGTGCACGTGCGTGCATGAGCACGTAAGGTCTCCCCCCTTGCAACCCGGTGCTGTGACAATAGAGAGGAAAAGATCAGGAGAGTCTGGGCGCTGAGAAAAAGAAACCTTTTTATCACCTTTAAAGCGCTCCATGGCATGGGACCTAGTTATCTTCGAGACCGCCTGCTGCTACCGACGGCCTCCCATTGACCTGTGCGCTCCCACAAAGAGGGCTTCCTCGGTGTGCCATCAGCCAAACAATGTAGGCTGGTGACCCCCAGGGGGAGGGCCTTCTCTGTGGGGGCACCTACCCTCTGGAATCAGCTGCCCCCAGAGATAAGGAGAATCCAAGACCTCGGTGACTTCTGCCGTGCCCTTAAAACCTTCTTTTTCCAGCAAGCCGGGCTGACCTAACACTTTTTAAAATGTTTTTAATTGTTTGTTATTGTTTTTAATCATGGAGCCAAATTTATATATATCTTTTTAATTGTATTTTAATGTTTGTAGTTTATGTTTTTATTTGGCTGTTTACTGCCCTGAGTCCTCAGGGAGAAGGGCGGTATACAAATTTAAAAATAAATAAATAAATAAACAAGCGTTACAAAAAAACAGCTTTTGTTAGCTTGCACTTTGCATCCTACCATCACAGAAGTTTGTTTGAGTGAGTGTCAGGGGTGGGTTGTAAAATTTTTGTACTACCGGTTCTGTGGGCGTGGCTTATTTTGTGGATGTGGCTTGATGGTCATGGGACAATTATTTAGGATTTAGCAGAGATACTGGTCTACCAAGCTTTTAACTGCTTGCAGAGCTTTACTGATCTACCCATTTATTTTTTGCAGGCACCGGTCTACTCATTTGTTTTCTTTTACCACTGATCAGCTGTAGGGCGGCCCTTTGAAGCCCCTCGGCAACAGTTTAAACAGTTTTTTTCTCTCTAGCCATCAGCTGGGACTCAGGAGGCAGCAATAGATTGGGGGTGGGGCGAAATAAAAGGTAAGAATAACGCGGGGGGGGGCGCCGCGGGGGGCAGAACCGGTTTGGTGACATCATATCATCACCACTACCAGCTTGGGAGAAACTGGTTGAACCGGGAGGAACCCACCACTGGTGAGTGTGTGTTTATGTGTGGAGGGGGGTGGGGCAGGTGGAGGTGTCTCACTCACTTGCAGCCTTCAAGCTCATGGTAGGCTGAAAGCTAACAAAAGCTGTTTTTTTGCAATGCTTGTTTCTTTCTCTCAACCCCCAGCCTTTCCCGATCTTTTACTCTCCAATATCACAGCACTGGCTGGGCTGCAAGGGGCGCGCGCGCACACACACACACACACACACACACACACACACACACAAACATACACGTGCACGAGTCTGGGAGATGTGAGCTAAAAACCATGCTGAAGCAATGATGGGGGAGGGGTCAATATGGGAAGCCTTTGTCGGGAGCCTCTTGGCAGCTTAAAAAAAGAAAGGAAAGGAAAGCGGGAAGGGAGGGAGGGAGGAGGGAGTGGCAACTTTATTAGCAATCCAAGTTAACATTGGTATTCTTGAATTGTGAGCTCGCAGGAAAGTATCCCCTCCTTGTGTGTTGCAAGCAGCCATTTCCAGTGGGGAAAACAGGACAAAGCCGAGTGGGGAGAATATTTTCCTTTGTTATGTTTCCAGTCTGAATTAGACCATGGTTGGCTCCCTACAGGAGAGCCCTTTTAAGGATTATGTATTAATAGAAAAGCAACTAATTTATCTCTGTTCCTAAACGCTAAGGCTGCTGTACTGAAGGGAAACAGTAATGAGGATATAATAAATAATACTAGAATAAGATATATTCAGTGGTGGGATTCAGCCAGTTCGCACCACTTCAGGAGAACCGGTTGTTAACTTTCTGAGCAGTTTGGCAAACTGGTTGTTGGAAGAAATCATTAGGGCAGAGAACCGGTTGTTAAATTACTTGAATCCCACCACTGGATATACTGGTATACTAGAATTAGTAGAAACTTGTTGTTCTGTAACCATTAGGTTCCTGTAATGCACATATGGCCTTTTGTATTTGTATAACACACATATATTGTACCTTTATATCTGTAACACAAATATGCCTTTGTATTTGTATCACATATATTATATGCCTTTATATTTGTATCTCCTGTAACAAACATATGCTGTTATTAGGCCTCTGTAAGGTATCTGGTATTTGTCAAACATATGTTCCTGCCATTTGATCTGAACCCATATCAATCTTCTTCCTGTTTTTCTTATGCCATCTAAGAGCATGGTACGTATCTCAGTTGGAACTGCAGACATCATCCGAGGGATAATTTTACACTTCAGCTCTAACTTACACCTTTGATTATACAGATCAATTTATTCCTTGGATGATGCAGAACCAGGAGCCAAATGGCCAATTGAGAGAACAAAGGAATGCTCAAGGAAGAGATAACGCTAATTGGGAAACTTCTATTCCTTTGCAGGGCAACAAGGAATACACAAACCTGAACTAGGAGGCCAGAATTGGGTACTAAACTGATGTCTCTGAGGGTATAAAAAGGACGCCTTACCTTCCCCAAGGTGTGGCTATCTCCTCACATGCATTGTTCTGGATGTATGTTCTGGATGTTCTGGATATAGTCCCACCCAGTATTTTGTTTTTGGCCATAAATAAAATCTGCCTCTTTTTGCAAGCCTCGTCTTGAGTCTCTCTTTTTGGCATTCTGGTGACTCAAGTACATTTTGGGACCTTACAATACATAAAAAACAGAGGAGTTCTGATCAACTATCACAACCAACATTTTGACAAGTTTTGCTGTTGTCTGTGGACTCTCCCACTAGATGCAAGCACGGGATAAACTGAGCCTGGTTTGTTTTCCAGTCTTTGGCCACAAAAGGAAGGAAGGAAGGAAGGAAGGAAGGAAGGAAGGAAGGAAGGAAGGAAGGAAGGAAGGAAGGAAGGAAGGAAGGAAGGATTATAATAAGAGGGAATCAGATTCTGAGGAAAGTCCTACCTTAGTATTTGGCCACCAGCTGCCCTTCTGCCCTTTCGCTATCCCCTTGTCCGCTCCTCCTGACTCTCCTGGTAGTCTCCCATCCTATTGCTGAGGATGCTTTAGTTACAAAGTTGGGGCTCCTCGCATGGAGAGGGAGTGGCCCTCCCTCTGACACACACACTTTGCCCTCCTGAATACACCATGAGCAACGTGCCCAAGGACAGCGAGCATAGCAGCAGCCTTGAGGAGGAGGTAAACACAGCCGGGGACCCACTGGGGGAAGCAGGGCTGGGCTGTGGGGTCCCAGTGCAACGGGAGCTTGAGGGCCAGGCTGGGCGCTTATGCTCCTAGACTCTGGTCAGCCTGCACTACTGCCCAGGGGTCCTTTGCATGGCCTGAGAGGGATGAGGAGAACAAGGGTTTTGGTGCTTAACATTGTCTCGCTGGAGAAAATGGATCCCCCCAGATCTGCCTGGGCCACCACAGGTGCCCCACAACACAAGAGATGTGGAGCTGGCCATGTGACATCACCCCACCACGCCCACCCACAAGATCAACCACAATCCTGATCTCAGAATCCTCAGGCGCAACAAGGACAAACCACCAAGAACAACGTTGGAATGTAATACTGGTTTAATCTTGTCCGTCCCGAAAACGCTGCAGTCGTAACGATGTAAAATTGGCGCTACATGCATACGGCATGTAGCGCTTAAATCCATCCCGCGCCCGCCAGCTGTGAGGCGGAGCCCGGAACAACGCCCCGCCAGTGGCGAATCAGCAGGCTGGAAACGGGCGGGGCGGTGATAGGAGCCAGCTGCTGCATGTCAGAAACTTCCTGAGCAAAAGCTACCCGACCCTGTGAAGCTCTAGCCCCGACGCTTCCACCCCCCCCACCGAGGCGCCTCCGTGCATCCCCCCCACGTGTAAATGTGCGCGTGTCCCGCCGAAACTAGGAAGTGTGTCGGAGGGGCGGGCGCAGCCCCATGCTATCCCACACCTGTGTTGCCGCGCGGGCGAGCGGAGCCAGGTGAGTTGTCGAGTGGTTCGGCGCCCAGCGGGATGATAGGGCTCGACACCTGATATGGCCCTCAATCAAATAGTTTGACTCTGTTGCTCTGCACACTCATATGTTTTCTCTCCTGTGTGAGTCCTCTGGTGGTTCACAAGGGAAGAACGGTAACTGAAACATTTCCCACAATCTGGACACTTGCGTGGTTTCTCTCCTGTGTGAGTTTTTTGATGTTTCACCAGACTGGAATTGACACTGAAACCTTTCCCACACTCAGGACATTCAAAGGGTTTCGCTCCTGTGTGAATCCTCTGGTGTATCACCAGGCTGGCATTCTGACTGAAACATTTCCCACACTCAGGACATTCAAAGGGTTTCTCTCCTGTGTGAGTCCTCTGGTGTTTCACCAGGTTGGAATTGTGACTGAAACTTTTCCCACACTCAGGACATTCAAAGGGTTTCTCCCCTGTGTGAGTCCTCTGGTGTTTCACCAGGCTGGAATTCTCACTGAAACTTTTCCCACACTCAGAACATTCAAAGGGTTTCTCCCCTGTGTGAGTCCTCTGGTGTTTCACCAGGCTGGAATTCTCACTGAAACCTTTCCCACAATCAGGACATTCAAAGGGTTTCTCCCCTGTATGAGTCCTCTGGTGTTTCACCAGGCTGGAATTGTCACTGAAACCTTTCCCACAATCAGGACATTCAAAGGGTTTCTCCCCTGTGTGAGTCCTCTGGTGGTTCACCAGGTTGTATTTATGACTGAAACTTTTCCCACACTCAGGACATTCAAAGGGTTTCTCTCCTGTGTGAGTCCTCTGATGTATCACCAGCTGGCAATTTGCTCTGAAACATTTCCCACAATCTGGACACTCATATGGTTTCTCCCTGGTGTGAGTCTTCTGGTGGATAATGAGGTGGGAATTCTGTCTGAAACTTCTCCCATAATCAGGACATTCAAAGGGTTTTTCTCCTGTGTGAGTCCTCTGGTGTTTCACCAGGTAGGAATTCTGACTGAAACTTTTCCCACACTCAGAACATTCAAAGGGTTTCTCTCCTGTGTGAGTCCTCTGGTGTTTCACCAGGTGGGAATTCTGTCTGAAACTTTTCCCACACTCAGGACATTCAAAGGGTTTTTCTCCTGTGTGAATCCTCTGGTGGCTCACCAGGTTGGAATTTCCTGTGAAACTTTTCCCACAATCTGGACACTCATATGGTTTCTCTCCTGTGTGAGTCCTCTGGTGTATCAGCAGGTTGGAATTGAGAGTGAAGTTTTTCCCACAATCAGGACATTCAAAGGGTTTCTCCCCTGTGTGAGTCCTTTGGTGGTTCACCAGGCTGGAATTCTCACTGAAACTTTTCCCACACTCAGGACATTCAAAGGGTTTCTCTCCTGAGTGAGTCCTCTGGTGGCTCAGCAGGCTGGAATTATGACTGAAACTTTTCCCACACTCAGGACATTCAAAGGGTTTCTCTCCTGTGTGAGTCCTCTGGTGGTTCACCAGGGAAGAACGGTAACTGAAACTTTTCCCACAATCTGCACACTTGTGTGGTTTGTCTCCTGTGTGAGTCTTTTGGTGTCTCACCAGAGAGGAATTGAGACTGAAGTTTTTCCCACAATCAGGACATTCAAAATGTTTGTCCCCTGTGTGAATCCTCTGGTGGTTTACCAGGTGACAATGGTAATGGAAATGTTTCCCACAATCTGGACACTCGAACGGTTTCTTTCCTGTGTGAGTCCTCTGGTGGTTCTCCATGCTGGAATTGAGACTGAAACTTTTCCCACAAAACTTTTCCATCACTGACATTCTTGAGGAGGTCAAAGATATGTGTGATTCCTTATTTTGTTGGTGCCTGCTTTTCTGGCTGCCATATGTGACTATCCAATTGATATTTTCTTCCCCACTGGCTTCCAAATATTTTCCTCTTCTTCTGAAAGGAAAAATGATCTCCTTCGACCTTTTCGAGTAACATATTCTTAAATTCTATATAATCTACTTTTTCCAGCTGCAAATCTCTTCATGATTTTCTCTTTTCTGTCTCTTATCTGCTGATGAAGTAGACGAATTCTGTGGTTTTCTGAAGGAAATAGAAAATATTTTTTATTTCTGCTTCAATTTGCTTTGCTTTTCAGTGTTGCTTGTTATTCTCAGTTGTCCAGTGTGCTTATGTTGGCATCACTTTGTCTGTAAGATTCAAAAGAAAGTGTAAGTTTTATAGTTTATGAAAGGGTTTATTTATTTATTTATTTTATTTATTTTATTGAATTTCTATACCGCCCTACTCCCGAAGGACTCAGGGCGGTGAACAGCCACGAAATAAAACACATACATATAAAAATTTAAAATCGAATAAAATGAATTAAATAAATTTGGCTGAATTAATACCCATAATTTAAAATACCCATATTTTAAAACACATTAAAATTTAAAATTTGCACTTAAAAGGGAGAAGATTTAGGCGAGACAAGCTTGATGAAATAAAAGAGTCTTCAGCTCGCGGCGGAAGGTGCGCAGATCCGGGATCCTCCGTATCTCTGGGGGGAGCTCGTTCCAGATCGTCGGTGCCCCCATAGAGAAGGCTCTCCTCCTAGGGGCTGACAGCCGACATTGTTTGGCCGACGGCACCTGGAGGAGCCCCTCTCTGTGGGAGCGTACTGATTGGTGGGAGGCTATTGATGGTAGTAGGCGGTCCCGTAAATAACCAGGTCCTAAGCCATGGAGCGCTTTAAAGGTGGTAACCAGAACCTTAAAGCGCACCCAGAAGACCACCGGGAGCCAGTGCAGCTCACGCAGGAGAGGTGTTACATGGGAGCTCCAAGCCGCTCCCATAACCACCTGCGCGGCCGCACTCTGCGCCAGTTGGAGCCTCCGAGTGCACCTCAAGGGGAGCCCCATATAGAGAGCATTACAATAGTCCAGACAAGAGGTGACGAGGGCATGAGTGACTGTGCGTAGGGAGTCCCGATCTAGAAAGGGACGCAACTGGCGAATCAGGCGAACCTGATGAAAAATCCTCCTGGTCATGGCCGTCAAGTGCTCTTCTAAAGACAGCCGTGAATCCAGGAGGACGCCCAAGTTACGAGCCCTTTCCGTGGGGGCCAATGATTTGCCCCCAATAGCCAGCGATGGCGCCAGCTGACTATATCGGGACGTCGGAAAGCACAGCCACTCGATCTTGGATGGGTTGAGCCTGAGCCCGTTTCTCCCCATCCAGATCCGTACGGCCTCCAGGCACTGGGACATCACTTCAAGGGCATTGTTAGGGTGGTCCGGGGTGGAGATGTACAGCTGGGTGTCATCAGCGTACTGATGGTACTCCACCCCGAAACCACAGATGATCTCGCCCAGCGGCTTTACATAAATGTTGAACAAAAGGGGCGAGAGAACCGATCCCTGCGGCACCCCACATATAAGGGGCCTCGGGGTCGATCTCTGCCCCTCTGTCAACACAGACTGCGACCGGTCAGAGAGAAAGGAGGAGAACCACTGTAAAACGGTGCCTCCCACCCCCAATCCTTCCAGCCGGTGGAGCATGATACCATGGTCGATGGTATCAAAAGCCACTGAGAGATCTAACAGGACCAGGACAGAGGAACAACCCCTGTCCCGAGCCCTCCAGAGATCATCAACCAACGCGACCAATGCCGTTTCCATGCTGTACCCAGGCCTGAAGCCCGACTGGAACGGATCCAGATACGACGCTTCATCCAGGAATTGCGGGAACTGTCGCGCGACCACACTCTCAACAACCTTCGCAACGAAGCAAAGGTTGGAGACGGGACAATAATTAGCCAATACTGCCGGGTCCAGGGAAGGCTTCTTGAGGAGGGGCCTTACCACCACCTCTTTCAGGGCGGCGGGGAAGACACCCTCACCCAATGAAGCATTTATAATCCCCTGGAGCCAGCCTCGCATCACCTCCCGGGAATCCAGCACTAACCAGGAGGGGCACGGGTCCAACAAACATGTGGTCACGTTCAATCTACCCAGAATCCTGTCCACGTCATCTGGGGTCACAGGATCAAACTCATTGTCGAGCCTTGGTTGGGTCTCGCCATCACTAGGGAGGACGACGAGGAGGGGGCAAGCTGTTGGACTCTCCGGGGGCGTGTCATCAGCTGTTTGAGAAGTCTTTACCACCCGCACACAAAATGAAGCAAACTCTTTCATCGGAGATGGGGGGGGCATGGTGTTTGCAGATGACGCTGCCTTGTGCTGTAACAGAGGCGCGCTCCTCCTACAGGCCAGCTTGAGGAAGGAGGGATGATGTTGACTGTTTGATTGTTAATTGATTTATTGTGCTCCTCCTTCAGGCCAGCTAGGGGAAGGAGGGGTGATGTTAACTGTTTAATTGCCACTTGATTTATTGCTGTGTATATAAAAGGCGCTACACTGTGATTGCGTGTAGCGCTAACTTTAAACCTTGTTTCCGGCTTGTGCCTTTCTCCTGCCTGTGTTTGCTGTGCTGAACCTAATTAAAGGATTGCAACTGCTTTATTCCGTTCTGGTGTTGGCTTGTTTCCAGTGCAGTTGGGTGGACTGGCCGAGAGAAAGTTAGCGCTCCCCCACTCACCAATTTCAACTGCCTACGTTCCCTAGCTGCAGTCCGGTGAGAAAGGCTGTCGGTGATGGCAGAAGGGACGGCGCTGGGTGATTCGGAGTTGGAGGTCCCTCTAGAGGCTGACGTGGAGGAGGTGGTTGTGGAAGAGGAGAAGCTACAAACTGCAACCCCTCATCAACCGGTAGTCAGATCCAAGCTGTGCCAGCCACGTGAGGAGGACTGTGTGGAGACGGCTGGTGCGCAGAGTCAAGGGCTAGACCCTTCGGGACAGATTTCCAGTGGGGGCTGGTGGCCTAGTTCTACTCATACCGGGCCCCAATGGCCATCTACCCACCCATTGGGTCCATCATTTAGAGGTTGGCGGGAGAGACGTTGGACAGACGAGGAAGAGGCGGATTGGGGCTATGATAATACAGGGCCTGAATCCAGTGCTATGGATGCCATAAGAGATCGGTTTGGAGAAGGGAGTTTCCGGGACGCCCCGTCTTGGCAACCCTGGGCCGCTGGGGCGGAACCGTTACAAGGCAAGTCTTGGCAGGATGAGGGCCTTTCCCGGCCAGAGGCTCGGTTTCGCATCGCTAGCCCCAAATTCCGAAGGGAACAGGAAACAGGAAAAGGAAAGGGCCAATTCGAAGACCGGGCCTACCACCTGCCTAAGAGGGAGGATAGCACCAGGGGCTCCGAACAGCCATCGACCAGAAGAGAGGTAGGAGCTGGAAGGTGGGCACAACGTCCTGTGGGGGAACGGAGGCCCGTTGGAGATCTGAGGAGAGATGGGGAGAACAGACCACCTGTACCACCCCCAGCATGGATCCCGGTTCCTGGGATGTGGGCACCACCTCCAATCTGGGGCCCTCCTGCACTGCAAGCCACCTTTGACGGGAGCCCAGACCGTGTGGCGTTGTTCTTAAGCCAGGTGGTTAGTCATCTAGACCAGTATGGTCGCTGGTATCCATCACAATGGGCCATGGTGGTAGCCATTACAGCTGTGTTAACCGGTGATGCAGCAGACTGGGTGGCGGGATTACATCGCAACCATGCTAGAGAACTAGTGGATGTGGGTAGGTTCTTGGAAGCTCTCCGGTCTGCTTTTGAGGATGACTCCAGTGTACAAATTGCGGAAGGAGATCTTGTAGCCCTCAAACAGCGGGGTGTTCCTGCAAAGGACTATGTACGTGATTTCCGGAAAATTGCTAGTCGCTTAAGGGACTGGCCCGAACGGATGCTAGTCCAGCAATTTCGGATGGGGCTGGATCGTGAGTTACGTCAAGCCTGTGCGTACCGAGGCTTGGCTCCGCGCCTGGCTGTTTGGTTTAAAGCCGCTATTGAACTGGACATTACACTCCGGGAGTTTAGGCCTCGGTCGGAAGTTAATGTGGGACAGAGACGGGTTCCCACGGAGAGGGCCTCAGAAAAGCTGCCAACCACACGGGTTCAAGTACCTCCGCCCAGCAGCATCCTACCTGAAAGGTCTCAGCGACCGGCGTTTCGTTGTTTTCGCTGCAATCAGATAGGACACAGAGCGGCTGAATGTCCTGTACCTCCGGTACGAGTACAAACCCGAAAGCCGGCTACAGGGGTAGCGACCAGAGGCCGACCACGGCTGCCACAAGAACGTACCCAAGCACTTCAAGGACCAAAGTCCGTCGTAGATCATCCGGTTCGTGATATTACACCAACCACTGTGGCGGGGAGATTCCCGGTGGTGTCAGGGGACAGTGATGACAACGAGCCGGAGGACCCTATGGTGAGCAAAACTGTGTTCCCTTTTGTCATACCTGTGGTGCTGAGGAATCCCCGAAACACAACGGGTTTTCAGTATGGTGCTTTAATAGACACTGGATGTACCCGTTGTCTGGTGCGGAGAAGTGTGGTGGATGCTCTGGGCCTACAGATAAAAAAGCTAAAAGTTCCTGTGAAGTTCGAACAGATGGACGGGTCATTATTGGGGGGGGCGCCTGCTAACTACGTAACTGAACAAGTGTTGTTGGTGATAGGTGAACATCAAGAGTCCATCCAGTTTATTGTGGTTGAAAAAATGATAGAGCCAGTTATTCTGGGTCTCACATGGTTAGATAAATGGCAACCTCACATCTGGTGGGAGGGAGGTTATCGTAAGCTTAGAATCCCTTTGGGACCTGCTGTCCCGTCCCCTGCTTCTTCAGTGGGACAGTCGAATGAGGGACAGGACAATAGCTGTGCCTCCACAGAGGTGTTGCTTACACCGGACTTTCCTATTGTTTACCAAGACCTTTCAGCCGTGTTTAGTGAAGAGGAATGCGAAGTACTACCCCCCCATCGGACTACGGATTGTGCTATCGAGTTGGTGCCTGGGGCTAAGTTACCGAAACCTCGGATGTATTCCATGACCCAACAAGAATTATCCGAGTTACGACAATATATCGACAAAAATTTAGCTCGAGGTTTCATCGTCCCTAGTAGATCTAGGATGGCTGCCCCAGTCTTCTTCAGGGAGAAGAAGGATGGTGGGGTTCGGTTATGTGTTGACTTCCGAGATTTGAATGGAGTATGTATAGAACATCTATACCCCCTTCCGCTTATGAAGGATTTGTTAGCTGCGCTATCTACAGGACGGGTATTTACAAAACTCGATTTACGGGAA